GTCCTCGTAACATGTGTCTGTGGAAGCTGTAGCCTTCAGTGCCTCTTCCTCACTCTACTCTCTCTCTCTCTCTCTCTTGCTCTACCTGACACGTGCCGTCTCCTACCTTCAACTCTCCCCCGAGTTCCGCCCTTGTGACGATCCTTCGTTCCTCGGCCTCAACCCCGCGCTCGAAAGCTCCTCAACCATCTCAACCCCATGAGACGCGCGCCCAAAGAAGCTTAACGCCCCGCCATCCCGACTTTCACACTTTCCCAGGCCTGCCCTCTTCCGCGCGCCTGTCTCTTTGTACGCCAGCAGCCGCCCGTTTCCCGCCGCCCGCACCTACCAAGCCTCCCAAGAATCCCAGCTCCCGCCAGCAGCCATGTCGGCTCTCCTGGGCTACATCTTCTCCTTCTTGAAGGGTTATGCCGCCCTCGTCGTCGCCCTCTACATGCTGTCCTTCGTCGTTCCCAAGGCCGCCTTCGGCGCCCGCGTCCTCGCTTCCTACATATCCCTCGTCGTAGCCGCACTCTACGGCGTCTTCGCCTCCATCTTCCTGCGCATCGTCGGCAACCCGGGCATCGCGCAATGGACCACCGCCAGAGCCTTCCACTACCTCATGGCACTCACCACCGGAGTGACCTTCGAGCTCGACGACCCTAAGGACATTCTTGGCAACACGCGCCCTGCCGTCTTCGTCGGCAACCACCAGACCGAGCTCGATGTTCTCATGCTGGGCGCCATGTTCCCCAAGTACTGCAGCGTCACCGCCAAGGCCTCCCTCAAGAAGACTCCCATCCTGGGCTGGTTCATGACCCTCAGTGGCTCCATCTTCATCGACCGCAAGAACACAAAGGACGCGAAGGAAGCCATGTCTGGCGCGGCCGACGAGATCCGCAAGAGGAAGCAGAGCGTGTACATGTTCCCGGAGGGCACCCGAAGCTACGCAAAGGATCCCGTCCTGCTGCCCTTCAAGAAGGGCGCATTCCATCTGGCTGTTCAGGCCGGCGTGCCCATCGTCCCTGTCGTTGCTGCAAACTATAGCCACGTTCTCTGGCTCAAGGGCCTCGTCTTCAACTCTGGAAAGATCCCTGTCAAGGGTAAGTCATCTGGTCGTCCAAAGACCACCTCAAACATATAAAGTGGCGTATGCTGACTCGATCTTCCCCGCAGTCTTGGACCCGATCCCTACCACCGGCCTGACCTCCGCGGACGTCGACGAGCTCACCCGCAAGACCCAGGAGCTGATGATGCGGGAGTACATCAGCCTCTCGGAGAAGGCTCAGGGCAGGCCCATGAAGATTGCCATCGCCGGTGACGTTGCGTCCGCAAAGGCAACCGGCGCCGATACCACGGATACCGTCTCGGCATTGTGAGCCGCTCCAACAAAGACAAACGTATCTGGAGAAGACGCCGCGCCTCTCCAGAAGATGCGTCCCCCAGACGGTGCATCATGTTCCTCGAAGGCACTGATCAGACCGTTTTCGCCAGCCAGGGCTTGGTCAGCAAATGGTGGTTGGTTATGGGTAGGGTAGACTTGGGGGGCATTCTTTGATACCCTATAGACCGAAGGCACTTGCATTTCTCACCTGCCATGTTGGGGCCCTCCATCAGGCCAGGCGAGTTGAGAAGACTAGATTATTCGGCATGATATGTAGATGAACCCGGCGTGCAGGTAGCATTTTGGTATGATGACATTTGAATTATTTTCTTCAGTTGAACATGAATGCTTGCGCTGTAATTTGCAGCCACGTGGGACTTCATAGTACGGCACAATAGCTGACAACGCCAATAACGACAGGAATCGGAGTATAGGCGAACCCACAGAAAACGTAGTCACTACAGCACGGGGCAACTAGGCGCTTGCTTCAACTCATGCATTCTGTAATTCATGCTGCTATCATAATCCCGTAATCCTGCTCCTTGTGCTATACACATTCTCTATGCAACTCTGGAGTATCCGGGCCATCGACCTCACCGGTCGTCAAACTTCAGAAGAAGCCCTGGTCAAGTCTGTGTTGATGACCAGATCATCCTTCCCCTTCAGATGCATAACAATGGTAAGACCCTCGACGCCCAGCTCATCGTCACCCTGCCCGACGTTCACATCCACGTCCACGCCAGACGATCCAAGCCTCTCTCGGGACATAATCTCAGCCTTCAACTGCCGCACTTCTGACGTCAGTCTCAAGTAGTGCTCCTTCCAGGTGCAGGTGTGTTCAGATGAAATCACAGGCGCTGGGCTGAAAACCTCAATTTCTTGCGACTGTCCGCGAGATTCGAAGCCGTGAGTTACGCTCGTCTTGTTGTCTTCTTCGACAACGTCGGGACCCGAGGCAGAGTGGGTCTCCTCGACTGTGTGTGAGACCTGAGTGTTGGTCTCTGACTCGACACTTGTTGACGTTCTGGAGTTTGACTTGTGGGAAGTCGAGGTTTGAACCTCCTCGACACGTTTCGACCTCAGGGGCGCCGGAGGCTGAGGCTCCTCTTTTGTTGCGTCGGTAGCAACGTCGACAACCTCGCCGACAGAGGGACGCGACGGTAAGCTTGTTTCGTCGTGACACGAGCTGCAAGTCTCAGCTCGCTGTCGGCCGCCGTGGTGCGAGTCCTCGACCCTTCGAAGCTGAGATCTCCAATTCTCAATTTCTGGCGACTGTTGTGTTTGGGCTTGCTGGGATATATTTTCCTCTTTCTGGACTCGGCGCAAGGGTCGTTGCATCCACGGCAGCGTCGTCTTTGACTTTTCCTCCACGGTGTCCTTTGTCACCTTCGTCACTCGCTTCAGCTTCGGCCACTCGACTGTTGGCTCGGTTGTGGCCGAGCCAATCTGGTCAATCGAAGACCTCATTTGGGGCGTGCTCTTGGTCTCTGTCACGACTCGTTGGCCCGTGATGGATCCTCGGTTTGGACTCAGCCATTCTGGAGGATTGGATAGTCGAGTATCCGGACTTGGCGGGGTATCCGAGGCTCTTCTCTTGATCGGGTCGACATCAAACGACTGAGACCTCTCCCACTCGCGAAGCTCGAGAGCCCGCTTGCCCTTCTTTTCTGCGGCAACCGCTGTGTCGAGACTGATTAGCCTGCTGCGGTTGACCGTGTTGATACCGGGTTTGGCCAGAAGTCTGTCGACGTCCACTACACTGAATGTCCTTGTCCTGTCCGTGACTTGGCTAGAGCTGTGCTGCTCTGACGCAGCGGATCCTGCAGCGAGATGCTCCATGATATGCTGTGTTCGCTTCAGATCGTCGGCATGATGGTACATATTGTCAATCTTGCGCTGGATAGGATCATCCAGCGGAGCATGAGACTGAAGCTCGTCAGAAGCATCCGCCGCTGCCTGTTGGCCCATAATGCATGCAATGCTGTGACGCTTGCTATGGTGGCCAGCATGTATGGCGTTGCACCTAGGATTGCCGCAGTCTCCATGAGTTCCAGCTGTCGTGGAAATGTCATTTTGCTGCGGAACACAGTCTGAGAATCTAGACTGATGCTCTCCGCGAGCAGTGGCATCAGTGAGTCGGGGCTCAGCAGTGACAACCTTTGTCATCTTGTCCGCAACAATGAAGGGGTTGTCTTTCAATGCCTGCAATGCAACTGTAGCATTTTGCACTGTCTTGGGGGAATGAGTGCTGTCCTGGTGGGAGGAAGACCGAAATCCCTCCTCAGTCACGTTGAAAGTGTGTTGTTGGGAGGTTATGACTGTATGCCCCGAGCTCTCCGTGCGTCGATGATCACCCTCGTCATCAGGGATTTCGCTGGAACACTGGGGGCAGACCGAATGACCACATGTGGCACAGAACGTCCGGGTCGTTACTTCCGCTCCGCACGAGTGACAAATGTTGCCGACATGCCTGGGAGTGCTGTTGGTACCATCCTGGTGGCGTGAGAAATCCTCTTCGTCGTCGTCAGAAAGCCAGCCGGAAGGTCGTGAGATTCCAAACTCTTCGAAGATATCACGAGCGTGACGCAGACGAATTGTGGAAGTGGTCAGCTCGGATTCCTGGGAATGATACGAAGACGCAGAGTTGTTCGAGAAGAAACGACGCGGCTTGAGGCTTGGTGACTGCAGAAAGGCAACATTCCTAGCAAGCTGGTCCTGCTGGCCCCGGGTTTTGGACCGGAGGCGTCCAGTCGATGCTATCTGACGCAGCTGCGTTGGATCCAAGTCCTTATTCTTGGGAGGTGTCAGGTAGGCTGATTGCTGCGGACGCAGCAACGGTGTTGTGTAGATCCTAGGCCGGCCCCAGTCCTCGCCCTCGGGGCCCTAGCCAGGGAACGAATGATCTTGAGATGGAGCCTTGGATTCCTCGACCATTGTGTTGCGGGTCGCTGGTATGGCGAAGATCTTGTCGGCTCGTTGACCCTAACCGAACCGAGTAGCGTCGCGTTCTATATTGCTTGGCAAGGTTGGCCTTCGCTTTGCAAAGCGAGGGGGAGTCGGCTTCGCAAACTTGAGTCGTCTTTGTGACACAAGTCCCTGTGGGATGTCGTCTCCTTCTCCATCAGACTGATAGATGGTGACGTCGGATCGAGGCGCTCGGTAGTTGGCAACGAAAGGATAATCCATGCCTGATAACAGTGGCAAGTGATTGTGTATGGCTGTATAATGCTGGGATAAGTTTAAAACAGTACTAGACCGGATGGATCGTCGTGGGTTGACGAACGACGCACCGGGATGAACGATACGGAGCATTTGTTAGGAGAAAGGTTTGCCTCGTAGGAGGTCAGGGAAGATATTTATGTAGGTTGGAGCTGGTGCAGAAGCCCCCATACCTGGGGTAAGAGTGAGGGGCATCAGTGACATATCCCTAGGCAAGCTCGACCCCTCGGCCCAAAATAAGACGGAAGGACCGTTCAGGCACGGCCCAAACGCGGGAAGCACAGCACGCACAGGTTCGAACTACAAGCAGGTGCTCAGGAACGTCGCACGTGGATTCAATTATGCGATGTTAGATGAGTTAGGGAATCCGAGTCTTTGATGTACAACGTCATTTGTCCGACGACCTCTTTTACACTCTCTATTTCAGGGCAGCCTGGAGGCTCTCGAGGACCTGCGGGGTCAGTCAGCGTGTGGCCTGCATAGCCATCCGGCAGCTACTCACCTCCAACTCGATCTTGGCCTCAGCAATGTCCTGCTCGCTGCCGCTGCCGTTGGCAACCTTCTGGGCCTCGGCGATCTGGGACTTGACAGCCTCAGCGCTGAAGTCCTCAATGGGGTAGCCCTCAGTGGCGTTGATGCTGAGGACGGAGTTGGGCTGGACAACGGCGAATCCACCGGAGACTACATAGCCGTCAGTTCCTTCAATTCGATATCCCTTGCAAGCCTGGCTTGCGGTTGGTGCACGTACGGAAGAACTGCTTGCTGGGACCGCTCTCCTCAACGACCTCGACCAGACCGGGCTTCAGCTGCTCGATGGAGGGAACGTGGTTGGCGAGAACACCCATCTCACCAGAGTCGGCGGGGATGTTGACCTGGACGACATCCTTGGAGCTGTAGATGGACTGCGATTGCGGCAATTAGCTCCGAACCCTTCAATTGGCTTCCTTCGGCGCATGCAGCATGCAATCGTTTGTCGTCGACTCGGCCGCGGCTCAATTCATCTCGGAGAACATCGGGGTCGTACCTGGTGAGGGAGGGACAAGCTCAGCTTGATCTGCAAATTGTCAGCGGGCGCTCGGGGTCGGTTCGGAGGCTGCACCGGTGCTTGCCTTGTCGGGGACGGCGTCCGCATAGGTTCGGCGCTGGAGGGGAGCGCGGATGGCAGCAGGGCGAGCTCGGAGAGCCGCACGCGCGATGCGGAGGGAGTTCATGATGGGCTGAGCTGGCAATGGGGATGTGTTGCTGGAGACAGCTCGGGTGAGGTCGCTGGCAGGAATCTTTCGGCTGAATCCATTCGCGATTCGGCTAGCGGGAGAAACTTTGGTCACGCCTCCGGGCACATGACCTCGAAGCACAGACCATGAGCGATAAGCTGATAAGACCTCTGCGAGGATTCCAACGCCGTTACGCCATAGTCATTCCCTTAACGTGTGTATTCAATTATGAGTCAACTATCAATAAGTCATGATGACCTCTGGTCAACCGCGTCGACAAGGTCTATTTTAGGTGGGTATTGCTGGAGTGTTTCCGACATCTTGCAGTCAAACTTGTTCTTCCCGCTTAGTAGGCGATGAAATCATGATGATAATAGCCCTCCCAACACCATGTCTGCTTGGCCAGTACCAACATGAACGCACCCTTGTGAGAGTTTGAAGCGTCCATATAGATACCTTCATGTTCCAGCTCCATGCAAGGTTCTCATATTGACTTTACGAAAAGAGTATGCAGTAGTATCCTTCAGGTCGACGATAATTTCCTCCAGTTTCGAGTTTGCGAAACCAATGGTCGAGTCGTATACCTCCAAATTCCTCACGCAGAACAAAATCACCCTGTGAAGTCTAGCTTTTATTCCTAATAACTTACAAAGCTTGACACACGGAGACACCCTGTTCTCTAGGATAAAAAAATCGATTTCAACTCACAACGATTCCGTCTGAGTCTCGTTCAAATCTGCCCCCACTCGTAACACTCAGTAGCAAGAATCTCACGAAAATTAATATGGCATCTACCTCGCTCTGCCCCCTTGAAGCATTGCCAGGAGCCGCGGTTCTTGAAGACCTGATGGCAATCAAATGTCCGAACGGCCCCCACATACCCACGGAGGAGGACTTGAAGAAACAGAGCCTCTTCGAAGTAACGTGCTCCCGATGCCACGAACGCGTTGTTCAAATGGCCCAACTCTTCTCCAAAACTTGTCCCAACAGCGACAGCGGATATGGTCCGTTAACGTATGGCATCGTGCGGAGCATGGCCGCGGGAAATCGACTGGGGGGCTGCAACCTGGACATAGCACATATGATGACATACCGATGGAGGATGGGGCAGCTTACTGATCGCGCTGTCAAGAAATTTGGTCTTCCTGCGCCGAGTAACGAAACCTGCATCATCTGGGAGGGACTTGGTCTTTGGCTCTATCGACATCGCATGTCAGACTCGGAGTCAAGACAGAACCTTGAGAGCCTTCGACAACTGGCCAACCAAAAATTCTTTCAGCCCCAAGAATCCGGGCCACAGCCTGATAGTACCCAGGGATATTATTTTGGACGCTTCATTGAATATCTATCGGCAGCAGTTACTGAGGCGCGCCTACCAATAGATGAGACCGGCAGTTGGTTGAAACAGTGAAGGCTTACGTCAACTCCTTTACGCATCTGTCCTGAAGCACTCTCTGCCAGCTCTCTGGTCAGATGAAGAGTTTTCTAAGTAATTTAAATATCCGGAATGTAGCTCCTGACGCGCAGCGAGGAAGTTACATGCAGTGATACCACCAAAGCTCGGGTGCAAAATCAATACGATGTATCTCTTCGCGGATCAGTCGATCTCTGGGGGCCCTTCGCGAATTAGTCGGCTGAGTGGCGCTCATGTGAGGTTATTCTCAGAGCCCAGGGCAGGAGGTAGGGCTTTAAGGGGGTAGGCATGGAGGGGCAGAAAGAAGGACATGGAGGGCTACGCTCCGGAAGTTTTGCTGAGGACAGTATCAATGTCGAAGGTCTGGTTATGGCAGACTACTGACATCTTGATTGTTCGCAAACGTACACTCTGAGGGCTAGATGCGGTTGACAAGCACTAGGTGGCGGGAGGCGTTTGTATTGGATGAAGCGCAAGTCAACCACGACGAGAAAAATGTGATTCAACAGCTTGAACCACGGCGTTCCATATGGTCACTTAGTTCATGGACAATCCCGCTCGAGACAACCCGTTCTTGACAGTCTTCAACAAAGCTTATAATAGGGTTGAGACCTCCCGGTCAGACAGACATCCCCATAGCAAGCTAGTTGTCAACCAGTAACCATAACCTCGATGAAGACGCTCAACTATGTGCGAAATGCTCTAAGATGACAAGAAGCCGTTGACAGCCAAGTGAGGGAAATGTCAAGCCCCCTGAGTACTCCAGTTTGATATAGAAATTGGACCATGCGATAGGTCACAGAGTAAATTTCTCCTTTGTCGTTGACTGACTGATCTCCAGTGGAGGAGGCCAAATTAGAACGACGGAAAGAAGGACATTTACTCATGTTTTGGCGTACTCCCGCTGAATTCTTCCCTTTGATAGACGTCTCGGTACTCCATGATGGTCTACGAAAGCCATCGACATCACGATGACTGTGAATAGTTTTGACGTTATGCCAAGTCTCATCAACTATAACTTCGTGACATCAAGGGGCCAGATGATCAGTCAATCACAGATAAGGCCAGTCACTTGTAATACTTGATCGACGGCTGTTGCTCGTGAAATACCAGGGCTGATTATGAAGTGATGGGCGTCACTGATATTCAAACTGACAAAGTAAGTGGTCAAGCCACGGAGGGCAATCAACAACCTACGTAACTCACGAGAAATGGAAAAAAGCGTGAGATGAACATGAGAGCCGGTTCACAGTTTTGAGGTCATCGACCCACGCCAATCAACCTCGGAATCGAGACACTTGACCTGTACCGATGCTCTCCCGCGGTGTTCGACCCAAGATGTCTCTGGCTTCCCGGAGAATGGTAAGCGGGCACGCCAGTAACATTTTCAACCAGCTGTGGAGGACATATTGAAGGATTGAACATGCTCCGAACAGAATGATAGTCAGTTTTCCTGGTCTGCTTCAATAGCTGAAACGTCAAAGTCTTGCTCTCCGTTAAGAATGCTGGACGTTGATCAATATCCCACCTCGCAATCCTGTGTCAATAGTTTCAACCAGGAGAGACAGCCAAGACGATAGTTGCAAACGACGAGACAGTACACCATAAAGGCGCGTAGTTTATTCCAAACAACGCCAACAGAGTTATTCAACACATGTCGAGCATATACCTCAAAAAGCAACTCAGCCAGCTGATCAAGAGATACCTCTCTTGTAAGATTTGCGCAGGATGACCATCCCCACAAAGAATGCCTCATGAAGGCATGTTCCTCCTGCCTGCCCTCAGCCTCGTCTGTCTCCGGCAGTCAGCACCGCTCAATAGCCAAGACAACATCGTCATCAAGCAGCCGCAATCACAGACATCACCTGCGCCTGCGTCTGCAGACACCTGCCAAGGCCTGCATACGGCGTTGACTTACAAGCCGGCCGCCCATCGCCGCGTTCCGCCTACAGAATCTCACGCCCAAGACACATGCATCTCAGCCAGCCCCCTCACGCATGGGGTCTCATCCAAGTCAGCTCATAGGCTTCACATGCCACTGACATACTCACATAGAATGCAGTGTAAACCGGATATCTGACAAGCCTTCAGCACAAGAGATCTGACAATACACGACATAGCTCGAACAGGGCAATGATGTGCCGTGAACAACACCTGAATATCATCTCCGCCGCCATACAACTCGAGTCAATTCGACATGCGGCTAACACTGGTAGTTTGCGTCTCCGACTGCTGCGTACACGCCCAACGACAATCACCAACCCGTGACCGTCGATCACATCTCCCAAAGAGTCGCCTGCTGCATGATACTCGACAATCATTGCTAGATACCACCAGCCCGACAACACACCATCTCTAAACCTAAACGTACACGCAAACACGGACCGACAAGCCACAAGAAAAAAATCCCGAACGCCTCACAGAATCCCATACCCGGAAAGATGGCAATGGGAGTGGCGAATACGCACACAAAGGAGAACAAAGGGAACTTTCCTCTCCGACTTTCGGACCGGTGTGAAACGAAACACATTGTTCTCTCCCTGCCCACCCTTCCTCTCCCCCCAAACCCAACCTTGCTGATCGGTGATGATCGATTTCCTTTGCGCCCCAAATCCGAGCCGAGGAAAGGACGAGAATTGGAGAGAGGGAGGCATTGACGGCGGCGGCGGCGAGACGTCGCTACCCGTGCCATCCACCAGCAACTGTTAACCGACAAGATATGCGGCTCATGAAACACCACGATGACGGCCCTGGAGATAGGGCACCCAGCGAAAGAAGGTGATGTCACACCTCTACACGCCGTGACTCGCGAAATGCGCACCGGCACGATCGAACCGGGCGAAGAGGCAGGCAGACTTCTTTTGCCGCCGCCGCGGCAAAACCCCCAACTTCCTTGTGTCACCCAGGGGCTCCCGTATTCCTCTCCACGTTCTGGAAGGAACCGAGACGCTTGAGATGGGACGAAAACAGCAGCGATGGACACACGATGCGGCGAAAGGAGACGGGCAAGGTTATGGATAAGGCCTGCTGGATGTGTAACACGACTTTTTTCTGCCCAGTTATCTCTCAAGGCCAGCTGCATCAGGCTCACCTTACACCACGGCAAGGCAACATGATCGCAGGGTCGTCCAGCAGCGGCGGCACTGACACGAGTAGGCAAGACAACGGGGCTCCTCGGAGAGTTCGGTCATCACGGGTTGGTTGACAGGAGTCAGTCAGCGCAGGAAAGATAGCTTCTCGATGCGACTGCCCGTCGTATGCGAGCGCCCGTCCGACACGAGAAAAAACGGGTGGTGGGCTGCAGCATGTCACTCTGTAAGCGTACAACATACTTTGTCTGCCCTCGAAGACCCTGGATTTCGCCATGAGAAGGGGTTCATGCTCGCAAACCCGAGAGATCACAGGCAATAACAATGCGCATACGAAAAAAAAGTGAACAATGTCCATGCCTGTTGTCATTCGCTTCGCAGACAATCCGGCACGCTAGAGTTGAGAGTCAATCGCTCCTGCGCAGCTGACCAACATCTGAATCGCTGGTAGTCTGGAGGGGGGAAAAGGGCCCCCTTCCACCGAGGGAGGACCT